TTTACAGCTTCCTTCTGAGGAAGGGCAGCTATTGCCTTGCTGAGTATTTTGATGGCTTAGATGCGCAAAGATCGCCTAGAGCAGCACCAGGGAATAGGGACTGGAGAGAGGTGAATTATCCTGCATAAAAAAGTGAGAACTTGGGGTTTCTGGAAAAGAGGTGGCAGTGGAGAGAGGAAGAAAAGGGACAAGACAATGTGAAGATGAGTGACTGTGTGGGGTGAGGGCGCCAGTAAAAACTCCCTCGGAGTGGGGAGGCTGAGGGCCTTCAGGGTCAACGATGCTTCATATTCCATTAGAAAAAATGGGTGTTTCTCTTTTTGTGTGTATGTTTGGCTTTGCTTAGATGTAACGCACACCTCTGTCCATCCCCATCTTTAGTAAAATGGACATATGCACACACACTTATATACACACTCACATGCCCTGGTGTGCACAAGTGTGTAAACCAATAAAGAGGCCGATTTATGCGCATAGCACAAGAACAGCACGTGTGGGGCTGAGAAATTAGGAGAGGAGCCATCAACTGATTGAATTCAGCAGAAGCTCAGAGTGAGAGGGGGCCACAGAATGTAAGCACTTGGGAATTCTCAGAGATCTTGGGCAGGGGTTGGGATGTTCATGGGTCATCACATGGGGTTTCAGGCCAGTTTTGTCTAAGTTGTAGAAACAAGGAGACCCCAGCTGACATCTCAGTTATGGGGATCACATGACCTCATTTTCCAGGGTGCTGTGAGGTTGGGAGATGATGTATGCAGTGCTCCCAGCACAATGTCTGAAAGTAACTTGGCACTCAGTAAACGGTAGCTGCTGTTAAGATGAAAGGAGTGGACACACATACAAATGAAAAAGAAAGTCCCAATTGTACAAGCAAAGGCATTATGTGCCGTAGCTTTTCAGAAGGCAAAAATGAAGAACCAGGCCTTGAAAGATTCGCAGGTGCAGAGAGGAGCAGCAAGAGAGCCAGGTGCGCAGCCCAGGCGAGACGCAGAAGCAGGAATGACAGCATGTACGAGGCAGGGGTGGTGGTGTATGGAGACCCTAAGTGAAGACTCCAGCAGTGTCTAAGTTACAGAAACTGTGAAGATGTGCCTGTGAGAAGACATAAACAAGTTTGGGAGGTGTGTTGGAGCCAGGTAGGATCAAGCCTGAAAGAGTGGACAGAAAGATGCAGAAAGCACACTTAACGGTGAGGTCAAGGTTTCTAGCCCTGGTCCCACCAAGGATTTGTGTGACTCCAGGCATACCTTCCCTTTCTCAGACCTGTAAAGTGAGGGAGCTGGACTTCCAAAGGCCCTTCCAGACCCATTGGGTTGATGCTGGGGCAATGGGGAGCCGCAGAAGGCTCAGGATTGCAGGGCAGGAGTAGTTCTCACCCAAACAGCCCTTGTTATCTGCTGCTAGCTGGTATCCGGGGTTGCAGGTGCAGTGGAACGTGTTGGCGGAGCTGACACACTGGTGCTGGCAGCCGTGTCCCCCCTCAGCACACAGGTTCTTTCCTAAGGACACATAAGAGTAGAATCAGCAGGGGACAGATGGGCAGAAGCCTGCAACGAGAGACAGCTGGATGGGGTCAAAGGCAGGAACCGTGATCAAGTATGGGCTTAGTTCATTTGAGAAGAACTGGTCCAGAGGGACGGCTTCGGGAAACAACAGGGCCTGAACAGCCCCTACAAAGAGGCTCGAAAGAGGGAGGCCGCTGTGTGCGTCAATGGGATAGGGCAGGACCACGCGGGGTAAGGTGGAGTGGGGCGGCGCTGAGCCGAGGCGGGCGGAGTGACTGAAGGTGACTGGAACGGCTCTGGCAGCTTGCAGGACGAGCTGAGCTAAAATGCGAGCGGGCAGGGCCGTGCCCATGCGGGCGGGACAGGACTCTCTGGAGCGGGCGCGGGCGCTCAGCTTTGAGGGGCGGTGCTTCCTGGGCGGAGGGGCGGCGGTTAGAGTCCGACTTTAAGCCTGCGGTGAACCACTGCTCGTCCAGGGCGGGGAGTACGCCACATGTTGCTACTGGTGGGCGAAGGCTAAGCAAAAGTGGGCAGAGCTGGCACGTGCCAGGCTGTCTCAGGCCTGAGCGCCTCGGCTCCCTGGCGGGCGGGCCCCCA